AAACAAACGACCATAACCACAATGAATGCTGTAGCCTACGTTGCTAACTGAACACAGGCTAATGAAATTATACGCTTGTCGCCCAACTGATACTTTATTAAAGCTTACAAGTGGCTACGGTTTACAAGTTGATTAAACACGTAATACAATTGCCATGCTTATGAACTGATTGAAAAATGTCGCACGTTGTAAAATATATTGATCATGTCACAGTCACGAAAATAATTCATGATGAGTTGGTATGAGAGGTGGGGGTTTTTTCTACGTAAGCTATGTCTTAGTCTAACAACAAAATATTTGTATAGGGCTCCAGGATGTAGGCCTATCTTTAGACAGTCACAAGAATCTAACCGCAAACTCAGGAAATGATTAGAGAAGTGAGAACTTCGGGGGACCCCCGCCGAAGGGCTATGCAACATGAAAGAAAAAAAATGTCAGCTTAATACAAAGTAAAATTGACAGATAATAGTTTAATCTGTTTTTAAATAGTGTTGTAGTATAGTCTATAATAGCCTATGCACTTTTCTCATACAGAGCGAAATCGCTTACTAACGGGACTTCAGGATCTTGGTTTTGGCATATGAGGAAATAAGGTTACAGTTACGCACAGGCAATAAAATGTTTTGGCAGCAGCAACCTCAAATAATAGCTGCATGCACATCTTCATGATCATTATCATCATCAAGATGCTCAGCCAGGAGGAGAGCAGTCTCTCTGCGTCCTGTAATCTTCCAAACCACGCCCACGCCAAGCCCCGCCCAATGGGCACCGCCAGGGTTTCTGGGGCCCCGTGTGAGAAATGCAATACTTAAAATGACCGGGGCCAGTTGCATAAACTCTAACTAGCAGTTAACCAAATGATAATCAGTCTTACTTTTCGGATTCAAATTAGACTAGTCTACGTTTTTATGTTTTGAAAAGTTATGACCAGTCTTGCTGGGGGGAAAAAAAATAGATAACTTACTAAGGCTAGTCTAAACAGTGTGCACTTGGCCACAGATGTCGGACATTTTCTAATATTTAGACATGATGTCCGTTTTTTTTTCTTTTTTTCTTCTTAAGTTAAATAGGTATTTTTATAAAGTACTTTTAGGGTACAATAAAACATCTACTTGTCGAGATACTTGTGGGCGGGTCTTGTAGTCTTGTAGTCTAAACCAGTGGTCCTAACCCTGGTCCTGGAGGCACCCCAACACTGCACATTTTGCATGTCTCCTTTCTCTGACGCACCAATTTCAGATCTTGGAGTCTCTACTAATGAGCTGATGACCTGAATCAGGTGTGTTTGATTAAGGAGACATGCAGAACGTGCAGTGTTGGGGTGCCTCCAGGATCAGGGTTGGCAACTGGTCTAAACCACGGCCATATGATTTGACGCTGATTCACAACCATCCCGGCAGGTGGCGCTGCAACCACAACATATGAGGACTGACACACACGAAGAAATTCACTATGGGGTTCACCCATGCATCTTCCGTAGTCTCTAGTAACAGCGTCAAGCAAGCAGACTTGCGTGATATTAAAATATGAACTATACACATCCAATGACAGGTAAAGAAGGGGAAGCAATGAGCCACAAAACAAGAAAGGAAGTCATACACACCTTTCAAGTCAACTTCTTCGCCACGAGTCTTTTAAATACATTTCCATGGGATGTAAGTAGAACATTGCAACATGCCCTAATGCATTAAGACCTTTTTTCAGATTATTTGTACAACTATTTATATATGAGCTGCGTTTCTTTTTCTTTCTTTCTTTGTTATTTGTTTTTTTTTCAGGAAAGTAAATTAACAGTTGTAATGTTTATATGTTTTCTCTGTATCATCTCTAAGTTACATGCATAAATAACACAATGGTTTTTGCAGTCTTTAGACAGAGACATTATGACTACAACAACTTCAGACATCATAATGGAGATTCTTCAGAAGGTAAGCAAGCCATTATGAAAGTGAAAGAATTATTTAATGGATAAAATGAACGTTTTTTTCTCTCTCTTTTTTTGGTAGACATGTTTACATCCCATTTGCCTCAAGAATCCCCCCTCTTTGAAATACAGAAGACGCTTCCTGACAGAACTGATCAAAAGGGTTGGTTTAGTGTCTTTACAAACAAACAAGTTTGACATTTTTCCCCCACATATTTTGAGATGCAGCATATTTTCATGAAAGCTCATTGTTGTAGCATGAGATGTTGGCTGCTGAACCTCTGGATGTACTGTATGAAGCGCTCGGAGAGGTCATGTGTGCACAGGAGGAGGACATGTGCTACAAAACCTACTTATTGGTGAGTCTGATCACATTAGCACTGGACCTTAAAGATATTTCTACCTCATAACAAAACGTAATATCAGAAAGTGTCAAATCTCAGCCAACAGGAGATGCTGTTAGTCTAGCAGAGAACGTGGCTCTCATCTCCCAAGGAACCACGGGTCTGGTTACCTGGGAGGCTGCCCTGTATCTGTCTGAATGGGCTTTGGAGAATACACACATCTTCAAAAACAAGTAAATCTGACACCTCACAACTAAATATTTAAGATGCACTATTTCTCTGTCATTCACTCAAATAAACTAATTTGTGACAAAATACAAAAATTCTAATAAGTTAATGTAAATTCACTTGAAATATCCAAATGATGTGTCATTAGTAACCCTTTGAAATAATCAATACTTATTTTTTATTTTAATTATTATTATAATTTTTATTTTTTTTAAGTGTGTGAAAAATTGTGTTTTATGGGATAATGTGTGTACTGAATTAACATTTTTCTGCAGTCATAAAAATTACTATATCAAGCGTAGCGTTAGTTCTGGCAGGTCACGTTAGTCAAGCTCGCATCAGCTGATCCCTATCAACCTATGGGAATACGACACCTATCTAAGCATTCATATATAAGGTCCCTCAGTATTATCAGCAGTTTTCGCATTGCTCAATAGCTAATTACCCTCCTCCATCCCCAGCTCCTCCTCTGTCAGTCGGGATTCAGCCTTCTGATTCTCCTTTGAATCAGACTAATTCTAAAATGTGTACATAAAATGATTGAACTTTTAACAATATCTGCAATACATTTATGTTGGTTCTGTTCTGTTTACCCTGGGGTGTTATTGCTGCTCTCCCTGCTCTCATCCCAGAACAGAACCATACCGCCAATCCAAACTGTATGCTAATTGTCAATAGTCTTGACGATAGTGTTCCTGACAGAAATATCTTAGCCCAGTTATTTTAAACTGCTTGATCACATTCTAGGGTTACTATTATGCATAAAAAAAAAACATTATACAAATGCAAACATCACATCAACATACGTCAGAATTGTTACTTTATTGTAACATATATCATAACATTTTTATATTAGTGCTACCAGTATTACATCAATATTGTGATTTATTTGTTACATTTGAACTTTTAATTTAGTGCAACATTTTAGTGCAGTTTTCACTAACAACTGCAATTGGATTTATATTGTATTGGCTACCTAAATTCACTGTTATCCCACTGGTCACTATTGTGGCCATCAAGATGTTTACTCATTCTATGAACACACTCAACAAAACTGAATATATGTGAATTCATATTTTAATACTAGACATCCTAAAGATAATGTGTAACAAAACTTTGTCATATCTTTGTTAGCATATCTTCTCAAGGTGCAAACAGGAATTAAACTGCTTTGGTCATGTGACAATTTGCACTAACCATGTGAAACTGCGCACATTTAATTGAGACACTTTATTTTTTCCATATTTGCAGGAAGTGCACTAAAACATCAGTCAGCAAGTTTTTTTAGAGCTTTATAAATTAAAACCTTTTTTATGGTCACTATTGTGACCGGTGGGATTAAATGGGTTAATCATTTATACATAGTTTCTCATACTATTTTATGTACAATGAAAGAATGACTGCAGCTACTTATGAAAGATTAATTGAAATTGCTTTCTCTATTTAGTTAATTGTTTGACTTATTCCATTTGCATGCAACTAAAAGTGCACACTGTTGATCACCTCCGTGTTGTACATGCAGGACAGTGCTAGAGCTGGGCAGTGGAATTGGACTTACTGGCATTGTAGTGTGTCGGTCATCCAGCCTAACCAAATACATCTTCAGCGACTGCCATCAAACTGTCCTTCAGAGGCTGAAGGACAATATCACAAGCTGCTTAACTAACTGTGACGGCAACAGTGCATCAGTGTGTGTGGAGGAACTGGACTGGGAAAATGTGTCTGACGAACAGCTGCAAAGAATACAGGCCAACACCATCATTGCCGCAGGTGACACAAAACCCAGGGATATTTGCAGGAACACACACACGTTACAGTTTCATATGTGATTTATTTTCATTCATTGATTAAAAGGTCTCTGAATCTGATCACATGAAGTTATGATGTTTGAGAAGTTTTGAGTAACATTACTGTGTTTGTTTGAAACAGATGTGGTGTATGATCCTGATATAATTGCTTGTTTGGTGAGACTGCTGAGCATGCTTCTGAACTGCAAAGTTGAAGAAGAACATCCTGATGTTTACATTGCATCTACTGTACGCAACCCACAGACGTACGACTGCTTCAAGAAAGAATTAGGTAGGTTTCATTTTATTAATAACATTCTATTATATTCTATTAATGTCAAATGTTTTCTTAATCCCCGATTTCCCATAATGAATTAAATGTTTCTTTTATTTACAGAAATGGCTGGACTGAGACACGTCGTCATGAAAGATTCTGTCGCTCAAGTATTTCCATACAACCGAGCCTCCACTATAGAAATGATCAAAATATATGTATGACAAAAATGATCTCTTTGTAATAAAGTATTTATTTACATAATATTTACAAAGATAGTGTGCTTTTTATTCTCATATTCAAGTCTTTCCCAATGGCATTGCTGGAATGCTGATCGTCCCGTTGTGGGGACAGTTAGCTTAAAAATATGTACCCTGTGCAAATACCTGACAGTAACTTTCCATTGAATGGGAGTCAAAGGATTTGAGAGACTGTTATATAAACCCATCACCTAGACAGTCAGTCGCAGTGCTCTTTAATAAGTGGCAGGACATTTTGGTCCCAGTTCTCATCCCAGCGCTGCTGCCCGCTTTCCCTTTGATTCTTCCTGAAGATGCCCAGTTTCCCCTGATCACTAGGGAAGTCTGAAAACAGAAGCTACAGAGATAACATAATTAGCTGTAAGCATTTCATATTAGCAATATCTTTAAAGGCGCAGTATGTAAAATTGACAAGCTAGAGGTTGAAATAGCTATTGTAGTCTAAATTCACGCTCACACCGGTTGCCAGATTGAGGATGCACAACAGGAAGTGACAATGGAAGGCAACGAGCCTTACATCGTAAGTTGATTTATCTGTGTTTTAATATGCCTCTGATCATAAAGCCCTTTAGGTCGGGTAGAATCTGCGATCTCTGACCCAGTTCGTTTGCTGCAATAGGCTGTGTTTTCTGACAACTGGCAATGCGGGGTGTCAAAATACTATTGGGTAAACTGGCAGTGAGTGGAATCACACAGACCAAAACAAAAACGGACAATCCGACACGGAACACACATTTTCAAGTTGAACAACTGCCTGTAGGATCGTTTTTGGGAGAAACAATTATGTGAACTTAGCATGTTACCTAAATATTAAAAATGACATACAGCACCTTTAAGAAAAAATCTTGATTTTTGAATCTCGCAGTTATATAGAACTGTTTTTAATTAACATATATCTTACCTTTAATTGTTCAGACAGCTCCTTGGAGTCTTTGAAAATGAGCCCATTTTCCTCATGTTTCACCAGTTCATGCAAGCTAACAAGATATAGATAATGAGCAGATGGCACCTAACATAACCTACACCTACTATAAAAGACCAGTCTCTCAATCTTACCACTGAAAGTGTATGGCACAGACTGGTAGACAACATCCAAACATGTCAACCACTTTCATTGGAAGGTCAAGACCACTGGAGGATTTGTGCAAGCAGACCCCAAGATCAGCAGAACCTGTGCCGAAAAAATCATACTCATGTTAATACATGTTTTAGGCCAAGACATTGGTCTATGACATTTATAAAGAGATCCTCTCACCAAGTAAAACTGGATAATCCTCTGCTTCCAGCCATGGAGTGCAAATCTTGATATGTTGTAATTCTTTAGAGTCAATCAGCTTCTTGTAATACTCCTTCTGAGGACCTTTACCTGTATTGATGTATCGTAGTGTTTGAAACAGTGTTGGTCCACAGATGATTTTATGAACATGTATGCATATTAGACATTGTGGTGTACCTGTAATCACACAGACCAATGATGGAAGTCTGTGCCCTGCCTCAACAAACTTCTCATACTCTATTGGAGAAATGAATCAAATGTTAGAGAATACATAGTCAAATAGGTTTCAATACATAAATATGCAACTGTAAATTACAGAAAAGGTTGTAATACACTACAGTTCAAAAGGTCGCTAAGATTTCTTTAAATGTGTTTATTAAAAGTTTTTTGATTAAAAAATGTAGTAAAAACAGTAATATTGTGAAATATATTATTTCTATTGTAATATATTTTAAAATGTAATTTATTCCTCTGATGGCAAAGCTGAAGTTTCAGCATCATTTCTCCAGTCTTCAGTGTCACATGATCCTTCAGAAATCATTTGCTGCTCAGGAAACATCAGCGTTGAAAACCGTTGTTCTACTTAACATTTTTGTGGAAACTGTGATATTTTTTTTGATAAAACAAATTGCACTTTTTTGTCTATTTTGGTCAATTTAATGCATCTTTGCCAAATATGTATAAATTTCTCAACAACAAAAAAAAATCTTACTGACCACAAACAATACAGTAGTATATATGGAGAGATAAAATAATAACCTTCAAGAGCTTCTAAAAGAATTGAGAAGTCTTCGTCCTCTGAACATAAAAAACATAAATAATGAAAAGTCAGGACATTTCAGTTAAAGGAATGACGGATAGCATCCCTATATTTAGTGTAGAGGGCACAGACCAGTCCAGCTGGTGCTGCTGATAAGCAGAGCAGGTCGCCCAGAAGAGTGCATCACAGCACCTGTCTGAGTATTACGCTCTGTGAAGGCTGTCAGTTCCATGTACTCCTTAGTGACATCAGGACTAAGAAATTACAAAGAGGGATATGTGAAACATTTATAAAATGCCAAAGACTAAATGGCGAGAGGCTATTACTGCTATTATCGTTTTAAAAAAACTTTAATACTACTATATGCATAACAGCAAGGAATGGGAGCAAATGGCTCTATGGGAAAATACTTACCTAGGCCTAAATGGTAAATAAGTACTGCCCATTCTGATAAACAGCTCATGTTGAAGTTTCAGAGGTGTTTCTCTAAATATCGGGGGGGGCTTGTCATATAATGTGGTCGCCCTACAATTGCAAAATTGATTAACTGGCTTGTCTTAAAAGTAAACTGTTTTACTAGTATTGTTACTATTTAAATACGTATTTAATAATAATAAAAAAGTTAATAAAATATGAAATATGATCTGATTCAGAATGGACATACTCAATATTCCAGTTTCTCCGAAGATCTTCTCTCATTGCGTTAGTGACACATAAGTTATGATCCGAGAAACATCCAAAGAGCTTCTCGTACCTGTCAACAACACAATGCACAGTTCAGACGGTTCCCAAATATGCCTCAAAACACTGTCCTACCAGGATACTTTTCAGAAGCGTTACTTACCATTTTGCCATCTTCACGATGAAATGATTCTGTCCATGAGTAAGAGCCATTATGGTGTATCCGTAGTTGTGCCAGTCTATGATGAACTGGTTTCCCCTGAAACGACTTGCCACCCATGTCACTGCTATGGCTGGCAGTCCAGGAGGATTCTATAGAATGCACATGTGACTTAGAGTTTCACTTTAAGACATGATTACATATAGAAAAGGAAGGAAGGAAAAGGAAAGGACGTGACATGTGGCCAAGAATGGTGTCCCATAATTAGAAGTTGTGCTCTGCATTTAACCCATCCAAGTGCACACACACAGCAGTGAATAGTGAACACACCCCCGGAGCAGTGGGCATCCAATGCTGCGGCGCCCGGAGAGCAATTGGGGGTTCGGTGCCTTGCTCAAGGGTCTCACCTCAGTCAGAGTACTGAAGGTGGAGAGAGAGCTGGATATTCACTCCACCCACCTACAATCCCTACCAGAACTAAGACTCGAACCCGTGACCTTCGGGTTACAAGTCCAACTCTCTATCCATTAGGCCACGACTGCCCCAAAAGTATGAAATGACTTCATGCTTTGCTTAATACAAGACAGATACCTGCATAAGAATATATCCTTGGTCCTCAATCTTCATCAACACACAGAACAGCTGGAAAGTCTGGAATATCACCTTTGAAGCATACCTGAAAATTTTGGGGCCAGCTGAAAGGCAAAATGCAGTTCACATTCTTTATATCAGAATGAATGTGCATGGACTTTTGTGCTTTTATGTTTTCTTTCTGTGTATACGTTTATATTACCTGTGAGCCCCTTTAGTTCTGAAATGGGAAGTATGTCTATCCTGTCATCCTCAAGAATGTCTTGATGAGGTTTAGTACCTATGCGAGCAACATGCCAGTGTTAGAGGTATAAAAACTTGCCCTGTGTCCTGTATATGTAATGCACAGTTAAGTGTTTATTAGCATGCCTTGCATTTAATCATGGGGGGAGATTTGACATCATGCATACAAGCAAAAAGTGGTGCAATGTAAAGTGCATGAGTTAAAATGTATATACCAAGGAAGCCAATTAGGGTGACATTGTATCCATGTCTGCTGAGAGAGAGCGCATGATACTGCATGCGAGGACTGCGCCCTATATCTCCCAGCACCAACACGCAAACGTTCAGATGTGCACGTTCATCTCGCCCCTTTAATCCACTGGCTAGCACAAAAATAAGCACCACTACAGCGACTGGTAGAAGAGCCCACGACAAGCTTAACCCCGATGAAAGTCCTAAAAGAACCAATGAAACTGTCACTACAGCTACTGCCGCATTGGCATCCGCCATTGTGTTTTCCTGATTATGACGTGGCTGAACGTAGGGCAGAAAATTTAAAGAGACACGAACCACCGGCGAACACCTGATACACAGAATTATAACTACATTCATATTCCTCAAGAGCATGTCACTTCGTACATTTTAAATATTTTTTGATTTAAATACTTTCTTAAATAATACAGTTACCACTAATAAATACATTAAACATTTAATCCTAATATTTTTAGAGACTTGTCTGTAATTCCATTTAGAACAATTAAAGGCACAATATGTACGATTTTTTGTTATTAAAATATCCAAAAACCACTAGAGCAGTGTTATATATTTTGCTGACTTGTGTACTTACATTATCACAAATGTTTCGAAGAATGTTTAAATCCAGAGTAATAAGCAATTTTAACTAGTGACACGGATCATGTCCATAGTGTCATTGTGTCGCCTGCCAATGACGTCATAACCCCTCGATTTCCGGTTTTGTAGAAAACATGGAAACACCAAAGACACTTTAATATGTTGTGCGTTTTATTAGACCGGTGACGACCGCACAGAGTAGCATTATAACAGAACTTTCAAACGTATCTAGTATGATAAAACAGCGCTGCTTTTTTCCCCCACATACGCACGACCGGAAGGAGCGGAAGCAGTCGACTGTGGCATAATAAAAGCTCCGCTGCTTTCGATTCAAGATATAGCTAATTATTATTATATCATTATAGCCTATAATAATAATAATAATAATAATAGGCTTATAATAATAATAATTTGTTGTTATTATTATTTTATTACTACTACTACTGATATAGTCAATAGAGAAATATGCTGTTAGCAGCCAGATGATGTAGCTACAATACCAGCAATTATTTTTCTAACTTTTTTCGAAAGAAAGAAAGAAAGAAACCTGTAATTTAAACTGCCAAAGGAATAAGGAGAAATCCGACTCAAAACATATGCTGGAATATTTTCCAGCAAAAGCAATATTATTCAAACTATGTGGCATCCCAGGGTTTACTAGCCCTAAGCACTGCAGTCACGCCATCTGCGCTGAAACATGCGTTGCGCGTCTACATAGCGTTGCGTGGTAGTGATGGCCATGAAGCTTCGAAACCTTTCCAAATCATTTCTTTTAAAGAGTGGGTAGGAGCGCGTATCAAACTGAAACCACAGTCAATTCATCGAGACCAATAGGCTAATTAAAAAACACATCATACAGGCACTTCTTATTTAATGGTATTTTATTGTTAAATTGCATTTAATGTATTAAACTTTCAATAAAACATTTGCAGTGGGTTTGAAAAATGTTTTTGTAAAATATTTTATGCATGTTACATATTAGAAAAATGTATAAAGAAAAAATTAAATAGTAGTCTGCAAATTCTTGTTCTACATCTCCCCAACTACTACTGTGGTCATTTTTATGTTGCTTTACCGTTTCATTCTTTAATAATTGCATGCCAAAATCATGACCAATACTATTTACTACCTCACTCTGCAGACATTTTAAAAAATCCGAAAAAATTACATCAAATTGTTTTCTGCAAACTCCAACAGATTCTTGTTCTACATCTTCTTAAGTACCACTGTGTTGATTTTCATGTTGCTTTACTGTTTCATTATTTAATAATTTATTTTTATTTTCTTTCTCTTTATTAATTTTTAAAATATGTATACCAACACCAACTGATCCTCTGCAGTGAATGGTTGCCGTCAGAATAAGAGTCCAAACAGCTGATAAAAACATCACAATAATCCACAAGTAATCCACACAATTCGTCCATCAATTAGCATCTTGTGAAACAAACAGCTGCGTGTTTGTAATAAACAAATTAATTGAAAAGTTTTTAACTTCAAAAAAAGTCATCTCGTTAAAATCAGGTGAGAAATATGTACAGATCAAGCACTATTTACAAGCATAAACTGTCCAAACTGGTTATTATGATGTTTTTATCAGCTGTTTGGACTCTCATTCTGACGGCACCCATTCACTTCAGAGCATCCATTGGTGAGAAAGTGATGTAATGCTAATTCAATTTCTCCAAATGTTTTACAATGAATAAAACAAACTCATCTACATTTTGCATTGTTTGAGGGTGAATCCATTTTTTTTGTTTCATTTTTGGGTGAACTATTTCTTTAATGTTGCAGTTGTTAATGTTCATTTTTATTTGGTTAATGTCAAGTGATTATACATTTCTGTTCATAGATTGCTGCTCAAGTCATTTGACAGGAGTTGCAGTGAGTGCATTAGGAGGTTTTCTCAACTATTACCTTTCAGAGCAGGACATAACGAAGAGACCCTTAATTTAAGGGCCATGCTTCATGATGAGATAATGGTGACAGAACTCAAGCCTGGCTCACACTACAGGACTTTTAGCCCGATTTTCCCCTCCCGAGAATCAGAGCAAAAATCTTGTCGAGCACCTCGACCGGTCCCGTTGTTCGGCTTTCCTTCTTTATCAGGCTTTACAGATACATTTAGTATTTATTCTTTCCTCTATGATCAATTTTCTGTGAAAGTGTAGTAGATTTAATACTATGTACGTAAAAACAACACGATTCAAAGAAAATAAATAGAAAGGCAAATTTTTGAGGGAAAACCAAGAAAATGTATACTTTATATAGTTAAAATAAAAAAATTTAAAAAACATACAGTATTATGATACATTTCTTACTCTGAGGAAAAATGACCAAACTATACAATTTTAATGATAATGAATTGTGCATTAAAGGTTAAATATAGCCACATTTTATTATTTGAATGCAAACAGAGGTCAGTTAAAATTAACAAAATGCCCTTTGTTGGTGAATATTTTCTCTTAGTTTAAGCTTTCATGTTTGGAGGGAGTGGACCCCTGTGGGTTCTTTATTATAGAAAAAGCATGCTTAAAAATTCATGTTTGAATTCAGTCCAGAAATAGCATGATCTCTCCAAAGCTGCTTACAAAGTAGCCACGTTGAGATGTCTTATTAGTCAGACCTCCAGCCATCCATGAAATCAGTGTAAGAAAATTGTGGTCTGTGGTGAATATTTGCCCAATATCTTGTTCTGATATAGCTATATGCTGTTTAATGATTACTCATTCCACCCTGTGACTTCACAGAAGAGAGCTTTTATCAGGCGTGATTCATACGTGACGGTGTTCCTGCCAATGTGCATGCGGTCCTCCTCCAGAGGCTGCTCTATGATGGCAGGCACATCTTTTCCGTACACTAGAGGGGAGGGTAAAAATAGTAATTAGTCCCATGGAGAATCTCGGGATTGAAAATTAATTAGTGTCTCAGCTTTCAAAAACCAGCATTTCATCCCCACTGAATTAAACAATCGAAACAACAGTGAACTAGTAATCACTGGATTAGATTTTGATACTTTGCGAATTACTGGAGGATTAAAGCTCTGCGTTGACACAGTCCTGCTACATACAAAACTGGACACAGAGCCTGTTTTAGAGGTACTATCAGTGGGATCAAACCATTTTTTTAGAGGATGTACTTACATTCACAGTGCTCAAGGAACTGAATGCACTCTTGAACCACCGAATCCCTGAGCATGATCATGTGCTTGGCCATGTTTTCCAGGAGTGAGAGAAAACATCTCTTAGCATAGAACCACGTGTCTGTTCCAAGCTGAAAACATAGGATGTCAGTGTCATGTCAAGCACAATGACTACATAATATCACATGAAAATCATTTCAGTGAAACAAGTAAACATCAGACTAAAAGGAAGTGCAGTTGCAATCCAGTGCTGTACATCTACAGTATCATGAGATCAAGAATGCTGAGGTCCTTGAGTAACACTGTTTATGCAGCTGGAAACAGCAAAGACCTCTTCAGTGGATATTTGTGGATACACAAAAATAGCATGTTGATAACTGTATCAGAGCAGGACTAAGATAAATACAGCAAGTAAGGAATGTGAAAGTTTATGTGCTGTCTAAACTCAACTAAAGATGGCTATTAAAAACATTAAATGAAATATTAATTACCTTTTTGTTGTATCAGTGAGAGAAAACATCTCTTAGCATAGAACCACGTGTCTGTTCCAAGCTGAAAACATAGGATGTCAGTGTCATGTCAAGCACAATGACTACATAATATCACATGAAAATCATTTCAGTGAAACAAGTAAACATCAGACTAAAAGGAAGTGCAGTTGCAATCCAGTGCTGTACATCTGCTACAGTATCATGAGATCAAGAATGCTGAGGTCCTTGAGTAACACTATTTATGCAGCTGGAAACAGCAAAGACCTCTTCAGTGGATATTTGTGGATACACAAAAATAGCATGTTGATAACTGTATCAGAGCAGGACTAAGATAAATACAGCAAGTAAGGAATGTGAAAGTTTATGTGCTGTCTAAACTCAACTAAAGATGGCTATTAAAAACATTAAATGAAATATTAATTACCTTTTTGTTGTATGGCTCAAGGCTTTTTATGACACGAGAAATGCCAAAGTCATAGTTCCCTTTAGCACAATACAAAGTCCTGTAAGAAATGATGCATTGCAAGTTTTACAAGTAATTCACATTAAGAATAGGCGTCTTTAAAATGAAAGGTATGGATGATCTTATTTTATTTGACATACGTATTGTTCAAAAGTTTAGGGTCAGCAAGATTTTCTAAAAGTTTTATGAAAGAAAAAGAAACTTTTTTCAATGTTTTTAAAATGCTGCTTAATATTTTTGTGTAAACCATGATTTTTGATTTTTTTTTTTTTTAATCATTCTGACACCAAACTTTTGAATGGCAGTGCAATATACACACTGCTTTTACAATGTCGTCTTATGTTATTATGATATTTCAGATTTGTGTGATATTTCAAAAAGTAAAAAAAAAAAAATGTAAAAACAGTATCTGTACGAACTGTATAAGATAAATGTTCATAGAGGATGTTCTTAAGAATTGATTTAACACAATTGTGTAAAAAATAGGTAAGACTTTATATTAAGGTGTCCTTGTTACAAGTTACATGTACTTACTATTATAATAACAATAAATTATGCATAATTACATGCAAGTAACCCT